CAAGTGTGAGGAGGCCAGACTCCTACCAGCAAAGTCCCACCGGGGGGTGGCTCCTTCTCACCTCTCCTCCAGCCGGGGGGCCCTCACCCATTCCATGGCCACTGCTATCACACGTGCCGGGACATGCCTCCATTAGCCAGCAGAGCCCTCGTGGGCAGGGCAGTGCCAGCGCCGGTGCCACCCTCCTCCTCCTCCCTACCTCTCCCTGCGGAGGGGCTTGGAGGCGCTTCCAGAGGCGTTTCAGGTGGCCAGCTCACCGGCCTTGCAGCACTGCGTCCCCCGCAGCCCCAGCACATTCTGGCCCCTGCAGAAGGATGTCTTCAGCACCACCGCCTCCCTGCCCACCCACTGTACAAACACACTGCATTGCTCAAGGCCAGTAGCCTCCCACCAGCAAATTTATTTATTTATTTATTTATTAAAACATTTCTATGCCGCCCCTTGCTGAAGCCTCGGGGCGGCTCACAGCAGGAATGAAATACAATAAAATACAAAAATAACAATATAAAATTAACAATATAAGATAAATAACAATATAAAAGAAGTCGCCCTGGCCAGATAAATAAGCAAATATTGTTAACAATTAAAATGACGTTTAAATAAAAAGGTCTTCACCTGGTGCCGAAAAACAAATAACGACGGCGCCAGGCGGACCTCTCTGGGGAGCACATTCCATAGATTGGGCGCCACCGCAGAGAAAGCCGTCCTCCGAGTACCTACCCTCCTAATTTCTTTCACGGAGGGTTCCCAGAGAAGGGCCTCTCCCGTAGATCTCAAGGGGCGGCCGGGCATATACGGACGTAAGCGCTCCTTCAGGTAACCAGGACCCAAGCCGTTTAGGGCTTTATAGGTCATCACCAACACCTTGAATTGGGCCCGGACTTCAATGGGAAGCCAGCGAAGCTGATGGAGGACTGGAGTCATGTGAACATAATGCCCAGTCCCCGTCAGCAGCCTGGCAGCTCTATTTTGAACCAATTGAAGTATCCGGACCGTCTTCAAGGGTAGCCCCACATAGAGCGCGTTACAGAAGTCAAGGCGGGAAGTCACCAGTGCATGTGTCACTGTCGCGAGGCAGTCGTACTCCAGGTAGGGGCGCAGCTGATTAATCAGCCGAAGCTGAAGGAAAGCGCTCCTCGCCGCTGCTGTCACCTGAGCTTCCAATGGAAGCTCTGGGTCGAGGAGCACTCCTAAGCTGCGGACCTTGTCCCTAAGAGGGAGTGCAATCCCATTCAGGACCAGGTCAAATCCACCCTCTCCGAAGCCTGACCCGCCAACCAACAGGACCTCCGTCTTGTCTGGATTGAGCTTCAGTTTATTGGCCCTCATCCAGCCCATTACCTTGGCCAGGCACCGGTTCAGTACAGCCACTGCCTCACCTGGATTGGTGGAAGACGAGAGGTAGAGCTGGGTATCATCAGTGTACTGATGATTCTGCAGCCCACACCTCCTGATGACCTCTCCCAGCAGTTTCATGTAGATGTTAAACAGCAAAGGGGACAAAATGGACCCCTGCAGTACTCCATGGCATAGCTGCCATGGTGCAGAGCCATAGCCCCCCAGCACCACCTTCTGAAATCGGCCATTGAGATAGGAGCGGAACCACTGCAAAGCAGTGCCTCCGACCCCCAATCCCGCTAGTCTATCCAGAAGGATACCATGGTTGATGGTATCGAAAGCCACTGAGAGGTCCAGGAGAACCAACAGGGACGCACTCCCCCTGTCCTTCTCCCTGCACAGGTCATCGTACAGGGCGACCAAGGCAGATTCAGTACTGTACCCAGGTCTGAAGCCGGACTGAAATGGGTCTAGATAATCAGTTCCATCCAAGAGTGCTTGGAGTTGTCCCGCCACCACCCGCTCTAACACCTTGCCCAGAAATGGGATGTTGGCCACAGGTCTATAGTTAGTGGCCATCTCTGGATCCAGTGACGCTTTCTTCAGGACCGGTCGGACTACTGCCTCCTTCAAAGGGGCAGGCACCCGACCCTCCCTCAGAGAAGCGTTAACCACTTCCAAGATCCAGGTCCCAATCCCATGCTTGGAATTATTTATTAACCAAGACGGGCAAGGGTCCAATAGGCAAGTGGTGGGACGTACTCGTCCAAGCACCTTGTCCACATCATCGGGCCGCAATAACTGAAATTCATCCAATAATTCTGGACCAGACAGCAGCATTGGCGTCTCCCCAGAAACCTCTGATTCATTAGTGGTGTCCAGCTCGTGATGAATCTGAGCGATTTTCTCCCTGAAATGCCTGGCAAAGTCGTCACAGCGGGCCTTTGAAGGTGGAACCGGATCTTCCTTAGGACCCGGACAAACTAGGCCTTGCACCACTCAAAAAAGCTCCACCGGACTGCATTGTGAGGAGGCAATGGAAGCGGAAAGACCCTCTTTTTCGCCACCCTCACTGCCACAGCATAGGCCCGATAGTGGGCTCTCAAGTGTGTTCGGTCAGATTCATCCCGTGATCTCCTCCACCTACACTCTAGCTGTCTCCCAACCTGCTTCATTGCCCGCAATTCAGGTGTATACCAAGGGGAAGAGCGGGCTCTGCCTGGTGGGAGAGGAGGCTTAGGAGCGATCGTGTCCACAGCCCTGGTCATCTCCCTGTTCCACAGTTCGACCAGAGCCTCGACAGGAGCACCAGTCTTGTCAGCCGGAAACTCCCCCAGGGCCTTCAGGAATCCATCCGGATCCATCCGGCTCCGGGGGCGGACCCACACAATCGGGTCTGCACCCTTGCAGAGGGAAAGGTCACTCTCGAGCACAAACCTCACCAGGAAGTGATCTGACCATGACAGGGGAGTCAAGTATAAATTCTTCACCCTCAGACCACCCTCTTCCTGCCCCGTCGAGAAAACCAGGTCCAGAGTGTGTCCACGTTCATGGGTCGGGCCGGAGACATGTTGAGACAGCGTCATGGCCGTCATGGAGGCCATGAAGTCCTGAGCCGCCCTGGTCAGACTAGACTCGGCATGGAGATTGAAGTCCCCCAGGACCAACATCCTGGGGGTCCTCAACACCAGGTCCGAGACGGTCTCCGTCAGCTCAGGCAGGGAGACTGTTGGGCAGAAGGGTGCACGGTACACCAACAGAATCCCCAATCTGTCTCGGTCGCCCAACACCAAGTAGAGGCACTCCAGCCCTGGTCTCGAAGGGACCGGAAGTCCCGTGAGAGAGATGGAAGCTCGGTAAACCAAAGCCACCCCCCTCCCCTCCCCTCCAGGCGTGAACAGTGCTGAACCAGATACCTGGGCAGGCAGTTGAGAGAGGGCAACATCCCCCCCCTCTCCCACCCAGGTCTCCATTATGCAAGCCATGTCATGGATGAGGGAAGATTTATTATTGACCGACCTGGCATTGAGCAGCAGCACCGTCAGGCCCGAGGGGCGGTTAACAGGACTACCTGGCACCCTCTGGCTGGGGGCAAAACCAGGAGGGATAGCTGTCAACCATCTGTCCCTCCTTCTTCTACGCGGACACGTTAAGCCCCCACCGCTGTTACGTCCATTGCCCAAGACCACGCCAATGGCGGCGCCCGCACGCTCCCCAGGAAACATAAACGTCGACATGGCCAGGGACGACTCCATAAAAACAGATTAAAATAGAGTAAAATTATAAAAGCAATTAAAAAGTCCCCCTTCCCTAACATTCACAATGGCAGGTGGGCCAATTTCAACAAAAGCCCCTGGCCAGCCCGGCCCCCTGCTCGGCCCCCGAACGGCCGTGACCGCCCTTTGGCCATCGCCCTTTGGCCGCCGGCCCCGGCCGCCGCTGGCGCTTTAAGGCCGCAGGGCCCTCCCGAACACCTGCCCTGTCCCGCACGCCTCTCGCCCGTGTGAGGGGGTGGGCCGAACCAGAACCGGTCCTGCGTCCTGGCTGGTGGTGCTGGCCTCCGTCGGGCGGCGTGGCGCGGCAGCGTGCAGCCGGTGGAGAGCGAAGGTCCTTCCTGCAGCGCGGGGGAGGTGTGCCCCGTCCGGCGCGCTGGTTCTCCCTGCCGCCGCCGGCACTTTAAGGCCACAGGGCCCTCTTGAAGACCCACCCTGTCCCGCATGCCTCTCACCAAAGGCTTTGCACAATACATAAAATAAATCCATTTCCCTTTGCCAGCATGGCATAGTGTTGGCATTCAGGAGACTCAAGTGCTAGTCTCCTGGAAGCTCTCAAACTCTCAGCCTAAACTACCTCACCGGGTGATTGGTGTGAGGATTAAATTGAGAGGAGACCCTTGGAACCCACCTTGTTCTTTGCTGTAAATGATGTAATAGGCTCTAGCTGTAATTTGGGAAATTACCATAGAACTGACATAGCATAAATAGCAATCTAGACAATAAACGACTCATTTCTAAGTGTAAATACATTTTCTCCTTTTATTTAATTTAACAAACACTAAGAACACTGCAATTCCTGACTCTGATAGGTGGAGAGAAGTGATAATAAAAAGAAATCTGGGGAATGAGACCAGAGTTTCAGCAGCAATTAAGTGAAGTTATTCCAATATTTTAAGATTTCAGGTCCTAGTCAGAGGATCAGTTCCGGCTATTCAAAAGCTCTCTGTGAATGTGACCCAGATGGCACGGCAAGTGTTTTCAAATGCACTTTGTTTCAAGTGGAGGAAATGGCAAGGTTCACAATCCACTTGATGGTGGAGAGAATGCCCCCTAAATTAAAGTGCCAGGCAGCCTCTGCTGTACAAATGGGCCAATCCCTGTATTCCAGCATTATGCCCCCAGTGGATGTTATATGGCTGAGGGGAAAGTAGTTACAGACAGGCTGCAGAGCATTCATCCATGAGTGATGCAGGTCTTGACCAAGTCATAAGGGCACATTTAGTAGTCTCTCCAGCATCACAGAGCAAAGGGTGAGCAGAAGGGCAACCTCCAGATGTGCGAAACTTCAACATCCCAGCAGTCCTGCTAAGTGGCCATGCTGGCAGGGCATTCTGGGAGTTGAAGACCGAAGCACATGGTACTCTTTTGCCCACCTCTTGAAGATACCAAACTACCATCAGGTCACCATCACCAGTATGTTGGCAGTGCTCATTTTTTTTGCATGGAACCCATGACAGATTTAATATATAGAAAAACTGATACTCTGGCTTATGAAACACAGCATCCAGCCTCAATGGCATTCTTTGTGTGCAAGTACTACCTTCCATTATACCTTCAGGACAGTAAGTTCTACTTCCCAATTCTACTTCTCTCAACAACTGTGCATCATATTTAATACAATGTGGATGTTAAGTTTGCAAAGAGCAAGTGTTGGCTTAGGTGGATTAAAAAAGTATTGTTGCTTTAAAAAAAGAGCATGATGCTGTGACCTTTCTTCAAGCAGCATTTCAAACAAACTGGTTTGTTCACACTGGCAGGGTCCAAAGGTTCTTCTTATGGGAGGGGTACATCTGACCATCATCTGCGGCTGGTGCTGTTCCAGGCCAGGGAAATGACCAAAATGCACCCCCACCCACTGCTCTTCATCAAGGCATGCACAGGAATGCTCCAGGAGCCTTCTCTTCCTACTCCGCCAGATGGGAAGAGAAGCTGGCCCCTTTCTCCTCTATTGCAATGAGGACCTTTTCCAGGCACTATGAAATTACAGGAACCCCATCATCAAAAATGCCAACAGTCACCCCTCGCACATCAATTTCCCCATGAAAAGTATGTATCGGTCACAGCAGCCCCCACCTCATGAGCATCCCCCTCTTTGTTACACAGAAGCAAGGCTTCTTCTGACACGGTTCCTGCTGCCTGCAATTTAAGACAAGCCATTGCCAGAAAATAAGAAATCAGTTTCCTGGCAGCTTGTTGCAGGTCAGCACATTCCAGAGGATGATTTCACAAAGCTAGACCCAGTCCTTACTTAAGGCAAGCAAACAGTTGTTACATTTTTTAAACCAAAGAGTACAATTTAGCAAGCACTGCATTCTGTCAAACATTAATGAGTTGTTTCAGGAAACCATGCTCAAGTACAGATTGCTTTTATCATCCACCATCTGTCCTTTCAGAGGTGATCTTTTGCATAAGACCAGAATATCAGAGTCATGGAAGCAAGAAGAGTCTTCTATTTAGTTCTGTTACCTAAGATAGACAGAAGCGGGCAGGGAGATCATTAGTACAGTTATTATACCAATTAAATGTGTATACTAATTAGATTTATTTCCTCTGTAAGCAAAGGTTGGGAGGCTGGATCTATTTATTGGCATCTTGGGTGCGCTTCACTTTTTATTTCTCTATGCATTGAAAAAATGCACAAGTTAATATTCAGGACATGCTCTCACCCTGAAAGCAGTAACGAGACATTTCTCTTGCTATGGAAGTGGGTACAAAAATTCCCCACTATAAAAGCCCTATTAAAAAGCCTAGCAGATTGTAGTGTCCAAGTGTCCTTTCAGTTTCCATACTGTGAAGGCTCAGCATCTGCCTAAAGCAGTGCATGAAACATTTCCATTTCGATAGGGCATTGGCTAAATATGGTACTTGGGATTTAGTACTACCAGCACACAAAACACAGAGAAGGAACTTCCGGTGCACTGCTAAAATTGATTCAAGACTGCAATCAATGAAGCATGATATGGGTGGCCAAAGGCTTTGCCCTTCCATCATTATTTGTCCTGGTGCAAGACAAACTGACAGAACTAAAAACAGAAAGTACAGTTCATATTTAAAAAGCAACAAGTGCTTCTAAAGCACCGCAGCCTCTTAATTAAGAACATGAGGGCCATCATCTTTGCAACCAACTGCATATAATGCTATATACTGCTATAGAGAAGTAGAACCATCCTGACTGGTCATCACTTTGCCTGTTATCCTTTCAGGAAATTAACACAGCCAGCTACGTTCTGTCCTCAGAAAGAACAACTGGACTACATTCAAAGTTTCATCTCCAAAATGATTCCATGTAAAACATTCTTTCAGAGATTTGGTCCAAGAAACCTTGAGGTTCAGGCCCTATTCCTTAATGCTTGTGTTCAGATTGGGCCATGCCTTAATCTAGAGCCCGAAGAGGCAGCTGAGTTCAAGGCGGTTGCCTCCATTCTCCCCCAAATACAGCACACACACACTAGAGGTGCTCAGGAAGCAGAACTCAAGAATCCTGACTGCCTCTTGATGAATTAGACAAAGGTAAGTTAGTCCTGCCCTGCAACATTGAAGATCAGCTGCAAAGTATGGCTTTCTTAAATATACTGGTCTTCATCTTGACTGCTGGTGAGCAGCGACCACTTATCTGCCTCGTTTCGTAGAGAATTCCCCATGTTTCTCGGCAGTTTGTCTGAAGTCAGGGAAGAGAGAGACACTTGACTGATAGCATCCCAAGCGCCAGATTTGGGAAGGTCTCGCCTCCTGTCATCCATTCCAATATGGACACTGACTTGGGACGGGGTGAGTGGTTTCATGCGTCTTTGAGCTTGAGCTTCATATCTTTCCATGTCGGGTTTTTTGTAGCTGTGGAAAGCAAGAGGAGCATGCACATGCACGCACACACATCCAGTTGTTAGAATCTCAGTGGGAGAAATAAGGTATTTGCAAATGGCACAACTGCTTGTCACGGGCAAGTGTTGGGGTTATGCCTTCTGAAATGGGAGAAGCAGAGGGGCTATACAATAATTGCTCCACTGAACAGACCAATCAACTAAAAGATTTGTGTGTTTAAGGGCACAGCTATTTTAAAGCCATTTTCAGTCTAGCACTATTGGAAGAGAAAATGAACACCATATTATAAAATATGCCCTTAAAAATTAATGTTCCCACACTTTAGCATCTTCAAAAATCAGTCCTACAGAGATTTTTTAGCACATGCATGGGTACCTCCAGTTGGAAAATCCCTAGCACTAACTGTCAGAAGATGTGGTGTAGCCCCTCTCTCTTTTCTTCCTTAACAGATTTCCTGTTTTTCCATTCTAATATAAAATTCCAGAGAAGCAGCATGAGCAAAGATTAAGCACCCTTTGGGAAACAACATGTCCAATTTTATTAGGCGCCCTGAGAAATGTGCAAGTTGGCTGCAACTCCCAACATCAGGGCATGACCTACCATTTCAGCTGCAAGGAGGAAAGCAACACAGACACGGAAGATGCTGCCATTGCAGCTGAGCCCATCCAAGGCTGAAGCACGATTCCAATGGGCATAAACACACCTGATGCAGGAAGACACACATGTCAATGCGACACGCTGGCTTGAAGAAGAGCCTTTGCCAGTAACTGCAATCTGAGCCAGCCCAGCAGTTCAATGGAAGGCCTCCTCAGCACCGCTTCACCTCCCTTGCCCTCTCCCAACTGGACATGAACTAGCAGATAGACGTAGTGCTTAATTTGTCAGGCTACCTCTCCTTTCCCATAAACCCCATGGCTTCCTTCTGCTTGCCCTGCTTTATATTCCAAGCAGCCCGGTCTATACAGCTAAAAGGCAGCTCTCACAGAGAGAGGTGAGATGTTGATGATGGTGGACTGAGCAGGGCCGTGGCTCAGGAGCAGAGCGCCTGCTTTGCAAGAGAAACCCCCAGCTCCAATCCTCAGCATCTCCAGGCAGGGCAGAAAAGCTTGTGCCTGCAACCCTGGGGAACTGCTGCCTGCCACTGGAAGCAATACCAGGCTAGGTGGACTAAGGGTCTTCTGTCCCTGCCTGAACAGAGAGAGATTTCACCCAACAGTTCTGCCTGCCTTCCCAAATCACATGGCAAACTCAGCAAGATGCTGAGATGCTTCTTTCACTTCCAGCTCTTCTTTCTTCCTCCCTCTCCCCTTCTTCACACAGCCCTGCTTCCCAGCAAGAACAGCCTGTGGACATAAGACTTATACTGGAGCTGGCAGGTATCACTAGAAGGCAGCATCTTCCTGTCATCATGTTTCTAAGCCAGAGGTGGGCAACCCGTGCCCCCCTGGATGCTTTAGCCTAGAGCTCCCATGGTTCTCCACCATTAGTTATGCTGGGCTGATGGGACCTGTGGGCCAAAACAAGTTGTCCATCCCCGTTCCCAGCTAGCAACCAAACTGTGTGTCCAGGAACCTCATCTCCAACTTGTCCTCCACTAAAACAGGTGCTTGAAAAGCAACATTTAAAAAACCTACCTGCTGCAATGGGTATACCAAGGAGGTTGTATATTAAGGCTAGGATTAGATTTATTCGAATTCTTTTCACTGTCCTCTTGGACAGATGGATACTTGCAACCACATCCAGTAAGTCATTCTGCAGCGAGAGAGAGAGGATGAATTTTCCACCTGCAAAAGGTCTGTGCGTTCTTAGACGTTTTTAAAGAATCCTGGAAACCTGTCCCCTCACCCAGCGGGCTGCGCATTAAGTGCTTACTCGAATTAGCACGACATCGGCTGCTTCGATGGCAACATCAGTGCCAGTGCCAATGGCAATGCCAACATCGGCCCTCGCCAGTGCTGGTGAGTCGTTCACCCCGTCCCCAACCATGGCGACTCTCTTTCCAGATGCCTGGAGCTCCTGGACCTTGGCCACTTTGTGAGATGGAAGCACCTCTGCAAAGACTTTCTTGATGCCAACCTAGATGCAACGAGATATCTGCTCTTATTCCAAACTGAATAGAAGGGCTGTCAGTTTTGAATTTAGAAATTATATTAGGTAAAGCAGTCTTGGAAACAATGGTAGGGAACAAACAGATTTATTGACCAATGATCTATCAAGTCTCATACCTTTATTTGGCCTCTAAGAAGCCCCTGCCCCAGAAGCAGGAATGCTCTCTTCTCTTGTTGCCCTCCATACCTGACATTGAGCAGAGGTTGCAGGTGGACACATTGACTGAACAAGTTGTTCAGTGCAAAGGTCCACAGCATGTACAGGCTGTGTGGACCACTGCCAGAGCTCTTTAATGCTACTCAGTGCGCAATACAACTTCCATGTCAAGTACAGCATGGTTGGGTAACCTTTCTAGTGTAGTATCTTGAGATAGTGTGGCTCAGTGGCTACAATATTGGACTGGGACTCAGGAGATCTGAATTCTAGTCCCTACTCAGCCATGAAGCTCCCTGGGTGACTCTAGGCCAAGTTTCTGCCTTTCAGCCTACCCTATCTCCACAGGGTTGTGTAAGACTGAAACAGGAGGAGAAAGACTATGTGAGGACTCACAACAGAAAAAATCAAATAGGAAGAGGAGGAGGAAAATGACAATGACTAGTTATGTTAGCAGGGCTGCAGGCATACATCACATTTTGGGAAGGGCTGTGGTTTCTCACTTTTCTTCCCTGCCTTCTCTGCTCCATTCTTTCCTCAACCCCACACATTTTCTTCACTGCTGGCTTAACTGCCCTCCTCTTTCCTGCTTGTAACTGTCATGTAAGAGTTAAAATATCCTGGGGATGGGAATGGAACCAGGCAGCCCTGATGAAAAAGGAAGTTCTGCATGCTTTGACATTCCAGGGGTTAAGAGAGCACCTCACACTGGACTACCAAGGTTTAGGGGAGTGGTTCACATCCTCATGTTGCCCAGAGCCAAAAGCCCAAGGATGCTGGAGATGGCAGGACTGAATGGTATACTGCAGGCAGCTGGGGTTGGCATGAGCGGATTGGGAGATTTATGATCACCCCACTAGTCCGCTGATGGGTTGCATTGGTGGGGCAGGGGGGAATAAAGAGCTGAGGGGTTCTTTGCTCTCCTGCTGATTCTGCCTGTTCATTGTCGAGAGGGGACTGGTGGCTTCCCTGCCAGCATTCACTGCAGACCTTAAGGTAGTATATACAAACAGAGCAGCATAAAGGGCTAGCTTTCTTATTTTCTTGTCCAACAAGGGTCTTGGGGGAAGTGGGGTCAGCTTTAAGTTGTGTTTTTAGTTGCTGCTCTGCACCCTGCGCCTCAACCTTTTCCCTTTTACCCATTTTAGTCCTACTTGCTGAGTCAGGGCTGGGGAAGGAGCACACTTAGTGGCCGGGGTCTTAGGGGCACTGATGTCTTTGCAGCCATTATTGTCAAGTCTTGATCTACAGGCACAAATCACAAAATATGATAGATTGAAATATGTCCTCCCATCCACTAATTGGAAAGACAGAGAATATCAGTTTCTAAAAGCTTTTGTGTGTAGGAGAGAGAGAGATAGGAAAAGGTGCAGGTAAGGAGAGTCACTGAAACGAAAATAGCTCTGCACTATGCTAGCCTTGTTTAAGCTTTGCTACAAAGATTTTGCCACTAAAGATGCAAAGTGGCTGTCTTAAAGCAGACCCACACACACAATAATACACAAATATAGCTTTTCTGTTGAATGGAAGCATCTATGCTTGATATGATATCTTAATTCTGCATATGGAAAAAATGCCTGTATCTGACGACTAACAGAAGATTTAACTATGTACTTACTCTTAATTTCTATCTTTCTGTCCTGTTGTTGTTCAGATTACAGTGGCAATTACATTAAGCCTATGTATTGACTGGTTAAAGCAGCCTTTCCTGACCTGGTATTGGACTCAGCTACCATCATTCCCAGCCAGCACCTTGGGGGTGGTTGGATTGGACTAGAACCAGGAAAACATGAATTCAAATCCTTACTCAGTGGGTGACCTGAGGCCTTTTACAGTCTCTCACCCTAGCCTACCTCACAGGATTTTTGTGAGGTAGGTTAGGGTGAAGGGATTAGAGTGGCTGGGGAACAAGAATGGGGCTGGCCTCTGCTGAAAAGAGACAGGATTAAAAAAGACGATCCATCAATGAGTGCATCAGGAATCCTCTTCATTTCATTCAATTGAAGGCACTATTACTTACCTCAATTAACTGGCAATTAAACCAGCATATTAACTAGCAAGACCCAGCTTCAGATATACTGGAAAACACTGCTATGTGGATTTTCTACGTAGACAGATACAAGTTCCCTTACACATATAGTGGGGACCCCAAAGTACCCCAAAGTAATATCCAAGCAAGGCATCACCTTGATTCAGGAGGACAGCAAGGCGGGCAAAATCATCTTTCACCCCAGGACATGTACCTGCGTAGCAATTGCTTTGGCTGTCTTCCGGTTGTCTCCTGTAATAAGCACCACATCCACACCCAAACTTTGCAATATGTTCATAGCCAGAACTGCCTCCGGTTTCACTGTGTCTGCTATTGCTATCATGCCTCGAAGAACCCCTGAAGAAGAAAACACCTGCTGTTATTCCCCAGCATTTACATATTGTTGGCATTTGTATGCCGCCCCAAAGCAAAGTTATCTGAGGGGCTTGGGCACACATTCAGCAGCCAAAACTAAGTGGCACCATTGTCCATACTGAAGTTGCTCCAGTTCCTTTAGATATTTAGCTCTGGAACCAAACAACACTCCACTGGTGCAGCTTTGGCTGCTGGAGCAGCCCAGCCAGACTCAGGCAGGTTGTAGGGAATGCAGTGAAGGCGCACTGAATTATATCTGGGTACCATCTATAGCCACGAGTATAGCTGTGTGTCCTTTCATTTCATGGCCGGTCATAGCCTCATGAACATCACTGGAAATATGCAAGCCATTCCGTCTCATCCATTCCCGATTCCCAATCAACACCAAATAAGTCTGAGAGACTGCTGCATCTGTCAGGCAAAGAAATAAAATTGGGTGTGATCTTAAAGTAGTTAAAAACTTCTACAATTGGCAGGAAAGGATGCCTTTGAGAATAACTATTCCATATCTGCTGTTTAACAAAGGCTAGACGCAGTCCCCCATTCCTTGCATCAATACAACAAACGTGCCAGAACTGTCTGGTGAAAATGACAGTGTCCTTGTACCGATAAGCCTATGAAACTTTCATGGACTGATGCTCAAAGAGATTGTGAAAATGCAATATTCAGAAGCTGGATTTGTAAGACATCCTCCCATAGAGTAATGGCATTTACATGCTTTGGGTTGTGGAGAGCACATGCTCAGATCATTTTCCGAGGCTCTTTGGTAGAGCACAAGAGCCACAGGAAGAGCTTGTTTTCATAGCAGGCTTCCACCTTGCTTACTAGGAGGTGCTACTCCTACAGTCCTACTACATCAAACAGTGGCAATGAATGCAGAGATGGTATGAAGATAAGGGCCTCCAGAGGGGAAGAAGGGCCATAGGCTGCCATCTGGCCTAGACTTGAAATGTCCAAACAGAGCTCCAATGCAAGTTCCCGCACATACCATCAGATTGTTTTAGACCAAAATGAACTCAAATGTTCTGTTTTGAGCATCTTGAAGCCTCCTGTTTTAAGACATCAACCAATTAGACAGTCTCCTGGTCTAAGCAGGACGGGATCAATGGATTTGCACTTTTCCTCCTGCCCACCTACCGTTCCTGCTTCTAGACCATTCAGGTGGAAGCCTTTCTGTGCTGTAACAGTGACAGAAGGAGGAAGAAACTTGCAAGTCCTGGAGAGAACTCTCTGGCTTGCTCAAGTGTTGAGTACACACAGGCAGGAAATAATTTAGTTTAGGAAGGTCAGCCATTTCTTTGGTCCATGGATTATTCCTATTAGGGCTACTAATATGGATTCTTACATACTGTCCTGTGCAACTCTATGTTTTATTTAGAATGCAGCAGCATTAATGTTTTGGGGTGGTCTCCTTATCGCCCTCACTAAAGATAACAAATTCATGATCAGTTCCTTCTTGTCACCTCTGCAATTTAACTTTTGCTAGAGGCTGTTTGCTTGCTAGGTGTGGAGATATGGAACTGTTCAGAAGAAACATACACTTTCTAGTCCCAAAATATGATGTGTGAAACATGTCCTTTGGTCAAGTTATGCATGTAATTTTTGGACCTAAGTTTATTGTCTCAGGAACCAAATGAGAACTTACCTGATCCGGAGATCAGAGCCTGTGAACTCCGATCTGCAGCACCTCCATCAGCATCACTCATCAAAGCAGGGCTGTGGCTGTTTAAGTGCTGCTCTGCCTCATTGAGTACAGTATCAAGGCTGCTGACATTACAGCTTATTCCACATCCAGGAACTGCCTGAAAATCTCTGCAGTATCCGAGGGTCCCTGTCCCAAGTTCCTGCAAAAACAGCAGTTCAAATAAGTACTTTGCTGCACAAGGGCATATCAACATGCCCTCAACATGACTTCAGAACACTTGCCTAAGGCATACACCTAAATAGGTCCCCCTATTTCGAGTGGGAGTCTGGGAAGGCTATTTAGTCATCTTAGAAGATTATCAGTACTATACGAGTAGCATATAAACACCTTAGATTTCCTCAAAAGCTACATGGCCTGGGTTTCCTCAGCAAAGTCCATGACAGCAAGCCAAATTCTTAGGAAGTGTGTAGAGTCAATATTTCTACACATTTCTATATTTCTAAAGAGGCTATATTTTGAATTGTAGTGTGAAACTACTTTTAAATTCACTCCATTATGCTGATTTGGCTTAAAATAAAAGTTGCATAGGGATGCACATAGCATGACTTATGCTCATTAGAAAAGCACCACTCATGCATTTTGTGCAGACCCCCTTCTCAGGATTTTCTCCCAGGGAAAACTGGTTCTTCAGATTTCAGGCAGAGTACTGGTTGGGTGACATAGTGCAATTGCAGAGGTTAAAAGACTTCTGTATCAGTGTTCAATTGACTGTATGTATGTGTCTGCATTAACACACACATTGAACTATGACCCTTGGAGGCCTTCAGGATTTGCTTGATTAAGAAAGCCCTGAATGCCAGAAACAGTTGTAGGCAGTGTGCACAAGCTTGGTAAACCTGAAAAACATCCTCCAAGAGACATATGCAAGCTCAAGTTCTCATTCCCTCCCTAGTTCTTCAACTACCCCCCAAGTATAGTTCTTATCTAATGTACACTGAAGCATCACTTCAACCAAGTACAGGTGAAGTCTGCGAGGGCTCCACCTGGGCAGTTACTGCACAGCACCCTCAGGGAATGCCACCCCTTGTTTCAAAGCCCTCTTGCAGGTGACGTGGGAGAGAAACTGCAGTTAATCCTTCTGGGGGCAGTCTGCAAGCCCTGGTTGAACTCGGCTTGGACTGAACCTTGCGACTAAGTACAGCAATGAAACCAGTGGCCTAGGGAGGTCGTGGGTTCTCCCACACTGGGGGCATTCAAGAGGCAGTTGGACAGCCATCTGTCAGTGATGCTTTAGCTTGTGGTCCTGCATTGAGCAGGGGGTTGGACTTGGTGGCCTTATAGACCCCTCTCAACTCTACTATTCTATGATAAATATAGGAAATGTGAGAGCAAACACTCTGTTGGACAATTGCACAGGGATGTACCAATGTACCAGTAATCATGATGGGTAGTTCATGTCAAACTTTTAGGATGCTTCTGCTGCCTATGTGTACATCAGTGAAGAACAGGGTAAGCAGTCAGCAACTGGATTCACAGAACACAATAACCCCCGCTCAAGGGTTGAGCATGGGTTGTCACTGATCCATGGGTTGGTCTTGTTGTTTAAACCCAGCTGAAATAACAAGCCATGGCTTATTAACAACAAAGAGCCCATGAAAAGTGGTGGATTGTGGTGGAAAAGTGGTGGCTTCAGACAATATAACGCACACTTCAACAACTCATTTTTCAACAACACACCACACTCAAGGATTGAGTATCAGTTATAATGATGTCTGAACCCAGTCAACATGTCTGCCAACATGTCTGTTCTACAGCTCTTCAGGAGATATCATTGCTACGCACATGGGCATAATAAGAGAATAATAAGCAGGGAAGCCACCTGACAAGGTGGGTTCGTTCCTAGCTAGAGGTAGGCTGCTACTGCCATAGGAAGAGAGCTCCCTCTGGTGGTAGAAATGATGCCAGCAAACAGTACTGGAGGAACAGATCCCAGAAGTCCTAGTTATCCCTCCATCTCTAGAAAAGGGTGCAGGGAAGCTGCCGTCTCATTTCCTTACCTCTCAGCTCTTTGGATAAGCTGTGGCAGGTGAATGAATGGGTTTTCCTGGTGCTGGCTTTCACCCACCCCCTCCCAGCAATTTGTTGGGAGGAAACTGAAGTACGGATGGCTGCTTTTGGTGCTTGTCCTCTGGGACCACTGGCTGGTATTCAGAATCAGAATGTGAAGAAAATCAAAGGGGTAGGCTGGGGAAGAGGATGGGCCAGGCCAAGACACTTAAACAAGGGAGGTGGTCATGCTTATCTCAAGGCCAGACTCCCTGGGAGGGCAGGCAGCTAGTTTCTGAGAATAACCAAGTTATACAGCCAGTGGGAGGGGACTCTGAGAATAAGTGTTTCTCAGACAAAGGCCAGGCAGTTCCAGCTCTTGTCCCCATGATGAGATGGCAGCCCAATTACAGGATCAGAGCATGCAGAGACTCACTTTCAAAAAGGCTCCCCTTGCAAAGGGATAGAACCCAGGCACGTTCATAAGGAGAGTATACTAGACTGGGCTCAACAAATCGCTCTGGGCATACTCAGAGTTTTGTTCTGGGTGATTTGTACTTTTGGGTCAATAAGGAATGCTTTGCAAGGAAAACAGTCTGTGAATCCTGAATGCTTGAACTCTTGTGATGCTGGCCCATGCTGAGCATCACAAGAGGTCTCACATCCCAGAAGTTCTGTGTGGCTAGTTCAGCCTTCCATGTGAGGGCCAGAGAATGATGGAACTTGCAGCCCAAGACATCTGAAGGGTAGCCAGATGAGGAAGGCTGGAAAGGGGAAGATTGTTAAGGAGCTAACAGTGCTGGAGTAGAACTTGCCCTCGGATCAGGGATGAAATGTTGCTTAAAAGGACATACCTCTTTGCAGTATCGAGCAATAGCCATTCCTAAGGGATGCTCACTGCTAGCTTCTGCAGTACCAACAGCAGCAAGCAGCTTCTTCAGAGAGAGGGTAGCTGCCGTGTCTCCTAGCAAGAGGACCCTCATGACTCGAGGAATGCCATAGGTGATGGTCCCAGTTTTATCAAACATCACAGTCTTCACCTGCAATACATTTTAGAAAGCATAGCATATGGCCTTTAGTTCTAACCTGAAATGATTGAAGATTTTAGCTCCTGCCTGCTGATAAGGTTTACAGAGTGCTGTATCTTGTACAAAAACAGCTGCCCCACACTTTCTGGTGCTGCTTTTTCTTCACACCTGGGGAAAGGGATAGCTTCCCATCTTCATAGATGGTAAAAACTTGAACATAAGACCCATCTCATAAGAAACAATTTTTAGAAGGAGATATTTTTAAAAAAGCATTAAACAGGCAAGTATACTATTGCTCAAATTAGAAAAAGTATCAGAACAGAAGCATCAGGTTCAAATTGATGTTTCCAGTACTTAACAAAGGGATGCCATTTAGAAAAGAATCCTATTTGCATAGTGTTGTCATTTCTTCTGTTAATTTATCCATTTGTGCTGCTCCCAGTACTTAAGTGATCCTACTCTCATAGTAGGAATTACTCATTTTTGCAATATCAAGCAAGTGCCATCCTAACAGTTAACAAAATTTGTCATATTCTTTGTTAGAAAAATTAGCATTATTATTTAAAGAGTTGTTAATGCATCAGACCTCAAGCAGATCCTTGTTACCAATGTTACAAGACTAGAGCCCAGTGAATTGAACCTTAGCGCAGCCCGTAGACATATGACACCCAACTCTTCTGGGGTTGGTGGGCACCTCTGCAACTCCAGGAACAGAGGCTCTCAGGAGATGGCTGCCACAGGGTCCTACCCACACACAGGGTCCTACCCACACTATGAAGTGGACACAGCTGGTGCCTTCCCAGAAAGCAAACTGGTGGGATGAAAAAATAAGTAACTTTGCCAAGGACTTAAGTACAGGCAGAAGCAGGATGTGCACTCCAAAATACAATTCTTCTCAGCACATATAAAGATGGTGCTGGAGAACATCAAGCCAGCATCCCAGTTTAAAAAAAAAAATCTTAAAATCAGAGGAGGGTCGTGGGATCTGGTAGCCACTATGCTGGATGTCCCAGTGATACAGATCAGTACCCAAGGATCCACAATACCAACATCCAACCATATATGCTTTATAGATCCTGCTTAATCAGCCCATACAGAGAATCTTTAATAAGATTTCTTTCAAAAGGTGTATTTAAAAAAATACCTGTTTGTACCAAGAAGAGATAATTTTTCAGTGTGCACACTCCAAGAGTGGGGCACAGTTTCAGCACCATCACGTGAGGATTTTTTTCTACTCATAAGCAAGCAGCACTTTCAAAGAGCACTTCAAATGCCAAAACACTGCATGTCTACCCATAGGTAAGCAGAACAAACCTCCAGCAACAGGACGGCTGGCTGACTCAGCAACTTCTTGTCCACTCCAAGGGCCCATTCCATCTCCCCAGCAGGAAAAAGCTCTCATCTCCAATCAGAGATAAAAACTTTTTTTTCCTGCTGGGCAAACGGCCAGATTCTGGGGAAGAAGCTGGTGGGGGATCACCAGCCTGTGGGGGAAATGTGGGTAGGGTATTATGGGCATTGCAAGCAGGACTAGGACCAGTAACAACTGAGATTGCGTGTGACTATGGGACACATACGTTGTGAGCCACCCCGAGGCTTCGGTGAATGGGGCGGCATAGAAGCTTCCTAAATAAATAAATATCCCATATTATCTGCTGTGCCATCTCCAGGATAGAGAATGAAAGACCCATCTCCCAGAGGCACCCGTAAGATTTTTTTCATAATCATATAATGCGACAGATAGAAGAGCAAGATTGTTTATTTCTGAATATTTTGCCAATAATAACTCCCAAAGAGTCTAATATCTAAACTGCTATATTCCTAATTTTTGTATAAGTGTCTTGAAATTAGGGGACTGTGACAGAATCTTCCCATGTACTCTGTTAGTGTTCCCTCACACGTAATCCTGAATCTGACATTAAGATCCTTTCATTTGTAACATTTATTCCTTTCCCTCTGTTCAGACCCTCTACTCATATTACCAAATCTATCATACCTAATTACTGAAGCCAAATGTGAAATGACTGGGCTTAAATGCTTCTTATGTTTAGATTTGTGTTGTAATTACTTTTTGGCCCAATGTTTTTCTGCCATGTCTTTCTTCAGCCAAGGAAGAATATTACTCTTATTAAGTAAGAAACTTACTTTGTTTCCAACTAAACAAAGCAGAGTCATTACTGAACTTATCATTAAAGAAGAGTTTCAACTAGGATGGTTGGGGGCTACTTTAAGATAGAAGACAAGGAAAAGTCAAACCTCCTTCCTTATCTGAAGCCTGCAGTATGCACAGTTTAAACTGAGAATGTTTTTATCCCTTTTGAAGTAATTTCCCCCAACTTTTTATATTTTCAAAGACCAGGAGATGGCGCTATTCCAGATATAAAGACTGCCCTTTGAGTATCTGGGAGAGAACTTCTATCAATTGCAGAGGGTTACTCACTAAACTTCCTGTGGCTTTCTGTGCAAGCTTATGCATGTCACATTGACTCAAGGCAAGCATGCCTTAAGATTTGTTTCAAAAGAACAGTGACACAAAGTTATGGCTACCCATTTCCAGGATGGGTTAGGTAACAACAGGTATTAGTTAGCAATGATAATATTAACCTTGTGTGCCATTTCCAGGGGTTTCCCACCTTTGATGAGAATACCATTCTGAGCAGCAACTCCAGTGCCCACCATTACAGCTGTTGGGGTGGCCAGGCCCAGGGAACAAGGACATGCAATGCAGAGCACTGTGATGGAGGTCTGGAAGGCAAATCGTAGGATAACCTCGGCTCTTGAGATGTGTTTATTGTGATGCTAGAAGGGAAAAAAAGAAATGTTTGTTCACAAGGGAACAAAGTGTTTTTTTCAAGAGTGGCAAACATTAGCAATTTGCAGTCAATGCTAAAAACCAGAGCATCCAGGCGCATGCAGGCGGAATCCTCTGTACTGCATCTCTCCCGCAAGAACACTGAATTAATGCCTGAGCATTTAATTCCACTACTGATTAGCACAGACAGGGAAATCATGTTCGGGAATGTTCCAAGTATGTACCTTGGAACATACTTATCCAAGGTAAGGTATTCTGTCATTGATACATGCTTTCTTGCATTGCTTATCAGAGAACATTGCCTATAAACCTCAGGTTATTTCCTCTATGCTATCACCTCCTCCTTCACTAGGATAGCCTTCTGTCAGGTATTAGACTGCGTCCCCAAACAGCTTCTCTCCCATCTAACCCTTCCTGGCCCACGCAGCTTTTTCTCTTCTTTGTATTTGCCATAGGCTTGTTGTTATTCTCCTTGGCAGCTTTAAACTGGCTAATGTTCCAGCACTGGGCAGATCCATCCCATGTCATACATGGTTTCTCCAAACGCAATCTGGCCAGTGGCTGAGAATTTTCATGTGTCAAAGAGTCCACTAATACCATTGCCCTTCCCAGAGAGGTAGAGAGAAAAATGTGGAAAGCACTCCAGAGCAGTTTTAGCTCAGGTCATTCTACTCCAACCTGCTGCCCTCTGGATGCATCAAGCTACGACTTCCACAACCCTTGGCCAACAGAACCAATGACTTTGCCAGCTGAGGGTTGTGGGAGTTGTAGCCCAACACATGTGGAGGGCCCCAGGTTGGAGAAGGCTGGCTCCTGCTCCAGCTGGACTGCTCCCTCACAGCCCCACCTCCTCACAGGGCCACCTACCACCAGCTGTCATGTGGGAAGGATCCTGATGGTTTGTTAAATTTTGGGGTTGTTTACTGTGATTTCATTAATGTATTTTGATATTAATTTTCAGCCACTTTGAAAGGATCTCTCTCCTAAAAACCAAGATAGACATAACTATAATTAATGAATTATACTTACTGGAAAATATTTCAGGACAATATCAAAATGCACAAATCCAATTACAATCCAGGTTACCAGAGTTGCTGTTGAAATGACAACAATGAAAGGGACAAAATAGCCACTAAATTTGTCTGCCAGCTGCTGAATGGGTGCCTGCAAGTTCAGGAAAAAAAAAGTTGCTTTACAATTGTGCCAACACACAGGGAGCCACATCAAGGCTCTTACGAATACACCTATTTTATGGGGGTACATGCCACAGCCCAAATCTCCCACCACTGAATCCTCCAATGAAACCGAGTGGCACTTGCCTGTTAATCAAAGACTAGTTTGCTAGATGAGCATAGGAGCCAAATTAGAGATGAAGGTAACAGACTTGTTTTGTTTAAAACTGGAGATTGCTTTAAAAAAAACAATCCAGCCTTCCATAAACTGATGCCCTTCAGATGAGCTAGGCTTCAACTTCCGTCAGCTCCAGCCACTATAGCTAATTGTCAGTGAAGCTGGGAGTACATGTAGGTTGGGGAACGCTGGACTATACCCCGGAAAAGTTTTTTGGGAGAATGTGCTCTGGATCCTTTGGATCCACCAAATACTTTGGTGGCAGTATTTGGGAGGCCAGTGTAACAGGCCTCTGCCTTTTTGCCTCTAAAAAAATCAACCTGTGCTGTGCATAAAAAAAGAGAAAGACCTATAACTCCCAGCATGCCCAAATCAGGTTTCTGTTTAAACAAGCATAAGCATACTTTTGAACACTTGTTATGCAATGTTGTTGTTTTTAACAGCTCAATATCATGCCCAACACCAGGAAGAACAGGCTGATTCAACAGCCCAAAACCAATGAAAGGATGTATTTTACCTTTGACATCTGAGCTTCTTCTACCAGCTTCACAATCTGTGCCAGGGTGGTATCAGAGCCAACATGAGTTGCGTTTACAAGCACGGAGCCGTGCGCGTTGAGAGAGCCTGCAATGACCGTGCTGCCCGGTTTCTTAGTGACAGGCATGGCTTCCCCTACCAAAAAGAAAGTGGAGCAACCCACCAACATATTTTAAGGGCTCTTTTATCATTCAGTAGCTCCTTAGTAAAGAAGTGGCCTATAATGGCATTGCTAAGCCTCACAGGGACCCTTCAGGTTATGAAGCAGCATAAAAGAAGAAATAAATAAATGTATATATGTTACTGGAGACATAATCATAACATACATACTGTAAATTAGCGAATTGGCACACTGGAGTATAAGCTTCACTTCAGTGACACCCAAGCCTCATTGTCAAGGAACAAAGGAGGCAAAGATCACAGAACAAATACTCCTCAGATGTGCTGTGGTAAAACCCCAAGAGGCCAGCAAGAAACTCTCTGTTCACCTTTCCCATGATTTGTTTCCCCATAGGAACCTTGATTCTCTGCTTGATTCTCGATCTTCAGTTATGTAAATAAGGTAGTGAAATACAATCCTAACATATATTTATACATATTCTCCTATATCTACCCGAAAATCTCTTATCACTGGTTTGGTGAAGTTAGAATGGTTATGAATTTGAATTTCCAGGAAAAGAAAAATACTGCGTGGGGTTAGGGAACACAGATGCACACACATTCAAACACAAAGAGCAACTGTTTTACATGATCTTACTATACAAGCTATCTTGTGACCAAAGCCTATTTTATTTTAACCAGTTAATTATTAGGGCATGCTACATTCTAAGTGGGATGCAGCACAGATGCAGAGCCATTAAAACTTCAGTAGGCTCATCACTGAGCCTGAGAGACTGAGAATTGCTACGACTACAAGGAAGGTTAACTTCATACTGAAATCCATAAAGTGCCATATCTTTATTAAGCTGATTCAAAACTCACAAAGATGTGCAAGCTTTGGAGATCTCTTCATTAGGCAAAATGTTAGAGGGTAATTGTGGGGGAGAGGGGGGCTGGGGGGAAAATAAAAAAAGATGCATGTATATTGTAGTTGGAACGTCTGCATCCTGACATGACATCCTCCTCCATATCACCTTAAGACACCAGTATGGACTCCCCCTCTCCTGACCACCCACTGCTTGCAAGGGCTGTGGGATGCTTAGGAAGAGATTTGTGGTATGCGTGGGAAAAGCTGCAGGAGGAAGGCAGATATTACTCTCAGTTACCTCTCCCCTAATGCATCCACAAACTAAAACTTCCTCATACCAGAGATCTTCTCTTGTATTCACATGCCTTCAGAAATCCAGCACTGCATAGTTATTTAAAAATCAAAATTTAAGAATCAAGTTACCGGTAATGAGGGACTCATCTGCCATAGAGCTGCCTTCAATGACTTTCCCGTCCACTGGGAATTTCCCACCAGGGACTACTTTCACAACATCTCCTCGCTGAACCAGTTCGACAGGCACTTGTTCCTCTCTGCAACACGGAGATCACCATTAAGATCGAAAGCTCCGTTTTATCCATACCCTTCAAACAAGAGAAACTGTATTATCTCAATAGGGATGGAAAGCCAATATGACAGAGGAACACTGAAGTGTACTATACAGTCAGTCATTTGTGCACTAAACTTACCCAGTATAAAAAAAAATAAATTTAAAACTGTGGATATTTGGGCAGGTTCAAGATTCATGGATACCTCCCAGCTTAAACTTATCTTTGGCCACGCATTGCAACATTTCCAACCCCACCAGTGTTCAAATGAAATACAACTTGCAAGACTGTCTGACTTGACCAATGGATTTCAGAATGGACCTTGGACTTTCTTGCCCCCAAATTTGGGAACTGAACAAGCAAACAAATAGATTAAAAACAACCATGCAGGTCTATTAAAGTTACAGCAAATACAATACAGTTCCTCAAAATCCAGGAATATCCATCAGAGCTATTTCTGAACTGGATTTCCAAAATATTGGAAGAGCTCATAATATCGCCATATGAAAAACGAAATGCCCCCACTATTGACATACCTGATGATGGAGTTGTCAGGTCCAAGTGTAACTACCATGGCTTCCGTAGCTTGAAGAGAAATTAATTTGGCAAGCGCCTCTGATGTTTTACTCTATGAAACAGATCAGTGACTGAGATTGGCAATTTACTACATTTTTCATCGAATCACACGCACCCTGAACATTTGATATATTGCATTTGAGTTAATTTGACTGATATCTGTCCCTCACTGGTAGATGGGAAATCCACCTAGATGCTTGAACTGCAGATGTTTCTAGATGAGGGCTCTGGCCTGAAATCACACTGTCTCGTTCACAGAAACTCATAGTATTATTTATTTATTTAGCAGGCTTATATGCTGCCCCATTCGCCTAAGCCTCGGGGTGGCTTACAAATAAATAAATATCACTAGTACAATAAAATACAGTTGGAGACATCCTGGCCAAAGCTATTAAAATCAATAAATAAAATCAACAATTAAAATGACGTTTAAATAAAAAGGTCTTGGCCTGGCGCAGAAAAGCAAATAACGACGGCACCAGGCAGACCACTCTGGGGAGCGCATTCCATAGGTTGGGTGCCAGCACAGGGAAAGCCCTCCTCCAGGTGCTCACCCTCCTAATGTCCTTCACGGAGGGCTCCCAGAGAAGGGCCTCTGCCGCCGATATCAAGGGGCAGGAGGGCACGTATGGACATAAGTGCTCCTTTAGGTAACCAGGACCCAAGCCATTAAGGGCTTTATAGGTGATAACCAACACCTTGAATTGGGCCCGGACTTCAATGGGGAGCCAGTGAAGCTGACGGAGGACTGGAGTTATGTGAGCACAATGCCCAGTCCCCGTCAGCAACCTGGCAGCTCTGTTTTGCACCAATTGAAGTATCTGGACTGTCTTCAAGGGCAGCCCCACGTAGAGTGCATTACAGAAGCCTAGTCGGGAAGTTACCAATGTGTGTGTCACAGTCACCAACATTATGTACATTATGTACAGTATGTGTTACAGATTGCAAGAGCCAAAGGTATATTCGCTTTTGAAAAGGAACCAGTTTAGTGCCTATGGATACCTCTCCACTGTGGTACACTTTTAAGTTTCATTGTGACAGCATATTAGGCATGGGTTGCTAGAACAGGAATTGGGTTCATTTGCTTTTTCTATCTTGTCTATATGTTCATCTTGATTGTTCCTAAGTGACCTGCAACCACCTAATTATGCCTATCTCCTGTCTTTCTTCCATGGAACTCAAAGCGCTTTAAGGTTTTCATAGGCATTCATATTATGCATCTCACCATTCTTCCGGGGACCTTTAGGCAGAATACACAGCAAATTCCCCTATTTATCTTTACAACCAGGCAGATTAGATTGTGAGATGGTGATCTTGTCTAGATCACCATGTGAGCTTCATGAACAACTGAGATGTCCATGATCCAGCAATAAGACTCCTCCCCTGAGAGTTGTTACTTTGAGCAACTGTACAAACCACAAACACACACACAAAGCATACACAGACAAGCCCCCACCTTAAGCCCACATGCAAATACAGCAGATCCTATCATCAACAAAGGATATTCTTTGCATGCCCTTTGCCATCTGAGACATTGCAGGTGGCCACCAAAGGATCTTCTTGCTGGCATGTCTTGACAATGGAACACTTCCGTTATGACTCCTCACCTGACACTTGTGTTGATGAGATTTCCACACCGAACAAAAACATTTAGAAATCTGACCTGTTTTATCTCTGATTATCACTTTTATGCTGCTGAATTTATTTCCTTTCTGGTTACTTTTAAACTGAACCTTTCAACCATGTTGTTTTTAATGTGTTTGTTTTAAATGGTTTATTCATTTTTCTGGGTGGGGGAAACTTTGATTCTACATTAACTGCCCCAGAAACTGGAATGGCAGTACATAAACCCTTAAAAGCAAAGACAAATACCTGCCCATGTGCTCATTGCCTTGTATCATGTGAGATTTTGGCTCTCTTACAGGACTTTGTAATCAACACATTCATCCTTCTTTTAACTATAAAAAGTTTAAACTGTGCCAGGACTGGTGCCTACCTCTTCTTACACACCAGTTCCCACAATCAAGTACAGCACACCCTATAATTTGATATTTATCAGGGTAAATGATCAGCGCAGACAGACTGCTTAGGGAACTGGTGGAATCCTAAGCACACCATTTTTCAAAGGCTAGAGTGGAATCCTTGTGCAAAGCGATGGGGAACTTTTCTTCTGTCAAGGGCTGCATTCATGTGGGGATAGCCTGACGGGGGCTACATGCTGGCAATGAAAGGGGCACCATTCTTCTCCCTCCTTTTACTTTTTTTTCCTGCTCAGCAGGCTGCAGGAGAAGGGGCAGGCTGCTCTTGCCAGAAGTCTGAACTGTTTGCCAAGGGCCCAAGGAAGTCAGGCCAAGGGACCCAGGTTGTACACACCTGCTGTAGGGTTTGGTTTCCTTTCTTGAGGCAGAAAGCTGGACTAGATGCTCGAGGAAACCCTTCTGCCACTCTTGCATTCAGTCTTCAGGTATACTCACCTTTGCTATGTGTTCCAGCCACCGCCCAAGAGCTATGAACACAAACAGCATTGGAGGAGTGTCAAAAAAGGTGATGGGGCTTTGCTCTGCCTTTTCAGCTATGGCAACCATCAGAATGATGCATGAGTAGACGTAAGCAACAGATGTGGCCAGCACTATGAGGACATCCATGTTGGCCATCTTGTGCTTCAGTGACTTGTAGGCTTGCACATAGAAGTACCACCCACCAAGGATCTGCCAAAAGAAAGGCAGGGATAACTATTTTTCCTTCTAGTCAACAAGACCAAGTCTTTTATTTCTGGGCAAAGATTGATACCTAAAAATGTAACCAGAAATTACAACTGTACCTGAACCAAGGTGCAAAGAACAAAGAAGAGCAGATTTAGAATAGATAATCCAGGAATGAGATTTTGCTCCAGAATCATTGATCCGTGATGGTCGGCAGCAGGTATTAACATGTAAATCATTAATATCAAAACAGGGACACCAAATACCAAGCTCCATAAGAACGATGTCCTCCATCTGAAAAGGCAGAGAATTTAGAAGATAAACCTTAAAAAGGTAGAAATTTCACAATTTCTCTTGATAGCAGCATCAACTATTGATGCCTATCAACGTTGATGCCTGAGTACAGAGTTTTGCTTTCATGTTTTGTTTCTGTATATAGGTAGAGGCAGTCATACCAATGTGAAACAAAGATATCAAAAACAAAATCAATAGTAAAGTTCCAACATATATTAAAAGATATGCTTTTAAATTACACAGAGGGGACAAATTCCCAGTTCACTGAATGAAACTGAATGTTGTAAGAATAGACTTCCACTGATACAACAGGACTTTCCTACCCTTGTAGCTTACTGTACCAGTTCCCTGTAAAATCTGCTCAAAAGGGCCACGCAATCCTGCAGCGCAGATTCTGAGGGCATGCAGAATATTGGGAATTGCCTTTCTTGATTGTGCTGACAGACTGCATTGCCAGGAGCAGCTTACCAAATTCAACCCACTGCCTGCCCCATCTACTACAATCTTGCCCATTTGCAGATATACCTACTGTCGGATCTCTTGTTTGTGATCCAAATTGTGATCCTTTGGATCTCTTTTAGCCAATGATGCTTGAAAACCAAGTCCCTTTAGGGAAAAAAAGGACAAAATGCCTATAAGTCTAAATCCAACACACATCCCCACAGACAAATTAGCTTAGTTGGTGTTGTGACCCTAAAATGATGCTTTATCTTTACAACGCTCCCAAAGTAGAACCATTTCACAGTATGTGGCCATAATTTATATGCACAGTGCATACTTTCCAAGAATTTAGGAACAGCTGGTGTCACTCATATTCTCAGCAAAATATCTTATTTTAAACAGTATAAGAGAATCAGCACTAACTCACTTATATATTTTTCTCATTGTATTCCTTATGATCTTGTATCCTTATTTCCTCCATAAAATGCCTTTATGCATGCATAATACTTTCCAAATTTTAATTTCCTCTGTTGTCTCCTTTACGTTGTAATTTCAAACCCAGTAAAATAAGAAATAAAATGCTAGAAATTCCTACACATCCTTTAAAAAGAACCCAGTTATTCCCAGTTGCTTCATGGCGATTACCTCATCTGTCAGGCTCCTTATTTTCCCCTACAATAGTTGTATAAAGTGTTGATAATCTTGAAACTGAACATTTCCAGCTTGTTCCTAAGGAACTACATTAATCCTTGAATGACCTTTTGCATAGTTGGGGGTTACCAAAACACACACCAAGACCTATGCTACCTTTGAATAGCCAGTACAGTTGACCTCAGTGGGTTGCAAGATAAGTTATCACAGTCCAGAATCTAGAATGATAGTACAAAATGCTCTTTTACTTGATAGGAGTCTGAGAAATACTGTTTACCATGCTATGATAATATCTGTGTTTGTCTTCTCACCTGCTACTGCTGAGATTCCACTTTGATTTATAGATTCCTAGAAGCACAAGGGAGAGGCTGATGTTAAGCCATGTGGGCTTAACATGGTCCCAAACAGCTTAGGACCAGGATACCTGAAGGGCCACCTGCTCCCACCCCTAAGATCAGGTTTGGAGGCCCTTCTGAAGCAGCCCTCCTCCAAGGAGGTAAGGAGGATGGCAAACAGAAGAGGGCCTTCTCAGTAGCTGCACCCCATTTATGGAATAGCCTCCCAACAGCAGCTTGCCTGGCACTTTCTTTACAATCCTTTTGGTGCCAGGCAAAAACAATTTTATTCTCCAGATATGTTAATAATTGATCTTAAGTTTGTATATATATTAATTTTTAAATTTGGAACTAAATGTTGGTGTTTAAGATTTCAACTTGTACTGTTTTAATTCTCAGCTTAAACTCTCAGCTGCACACTGTATATTATATATTAAATATTGCTGTGGTTTGTGTTTATGGTGTTTATCATTGGTTGATTCTTATGTTGTGTATAATTTTATTGTCACTACTTGTTTTGTTTTCATGTGTTTTGTAAATCAGTTGAGAGTCCTGTTGGACTATTAAGCAGATTATAAATTCAATTATAAATAAACAGAATGTGGCTAGGATGTTTTACATGCTCAGTAAGCACTGCTAGTGATCCAACTATGAACACAGGAAACGCCCACTTCACTGATACTGACCTCTGCATACCAGGACCACAGCTCCAGGACTTGGAAATGCAACCATTTTAACAGCTCACCTCAATCATTTGTATGATGTCTCGAGGACCAACAACTTCGGGATCAAACTGGACATTCGCTTTAGAGGTAGCCAGAACCACAGATGCACTAATAACGCCAGGTGTCTTGGTAAGTTTGGATTCAATGTTATGGACACATGAAGCACAGGTCATCCCCAGGACCTAAAGAGAATTGGAGCTCATGTTAACATGGGAAGCAGTCTTACACAGGCTGACCCCTGCTCAATCCAGCCCACAACTCTTTCTCCCAGGGTGGAGAATCCCAAGCCTTTGACCTTCCTAGGGTTACAGTCTGCCCTCCGAGTTTCCCCAGATGGTTCCAGCTCTCTCCAACTACCATTAATTCTGTGGTTTTCTGGCTTCTGCGCTGTTCTCCATCCATTTTAAGAAGTTGAAATGGCTCTGCTAATCTTTAGGTAATAACAGTCAACTAAATCATGGGAATTTAAGTTTCACCTCTTCTGCCTCTAGTCCCACCCACCACTTCTATTAACCCCCAAAGCTTGTTGGAAACTGAATTCAGCCTCGGGTTGAAAGAGATGCTGTACTCCGACCAGTAATGGATCTCCAAAGCAACAGCAGATGATAGCAGAGATTCTTTTAATCAGAGATGCTGAGTGTTGGAACACTTGCATGAAGATCACACAAGCAATCACAGAACGGTGGCAGCTTGTTCCCCTTTGCAGCATTCAGAGCAAAAAGAACCCTCTCAGCAACCCAGGAATGGATTTTGTTAAAATGTATGCATTCAGCACATGCTGTTTGTCACTTCTGATTGGACCACTTCAGTTGCTGCTGCATCAATTTTTCCACCATTTGAAAGTTTTGAAGAATTACATTTGCATTCTCTTCCACCTGCATTCTCGGAGAGATTACATGGCCACCTCATACTCCCTTGCCTTCCCTGGTGCTCAAAACATTTTTCTAGAAGGATCTGTGCATAGTTAGGGTTTTATACCTTATATCTAATAACTATACAAGATCAGCCAGGATATGATGAACCAGGAAATCGGTCCCATGAACCCCAAAAAATGTCATTTCCTTTAACTACAAACTGCTTTTGGATTAGAGATGGAATTCAAAAGCAGCTGTGATGCAGCAGAAGGAAGGAGGCAGCTATCTGAAGACAAAGCCCCCTCTGTGGGCAACAGCAGCCTCTGAGATTCTGGTCAGCGTATGTGAATCTGCTAGCACCCAACTAAAACCTGCATTACAAAGAGAGACTTGCTTGTTGGTAGTTCTGGACTACAGAGCTTTGGCACCAAATGAATATGAGTGTGAGCCTTCTGGGACTAATTCCATACTATGGAGGCATTCACCCTGGCACCACTTGCAAAGCTTGCTTGTTGATGCGCTCTGTATCAAATTATGTGTACCCTGCAATGCTTACCTGAAGATCTATATTGCCATCTGCACCAGGATAATCTTGTATGACTGAAGCACCAAAACCCAAGTTCTCAATCAGCTGGGTTATTTCAAGAGGCTGAATTCGGTCTGGCTTATATTTTACTTCAACTTTCCCTGCCATTAAGGCAACAAGCACAGATACTATCCCTGTAACAACAGAACTACATCAGGCATTGGACTACTTCATGAATCAGCTAACAACCTGCCTGTGAGAGCAGTACTCCATTTATCCTTAAGGTTGAGAAGTTTTATTTGACACAGCTCTACCATTTTAGGTACTCTGATGTGGAAACAGGCCCTTCTGCAATAGCTACTTCCAAGGAGAAGTCTGTAGGATGGAAGCACCCAGCCCAGCAGTCATACTTTATCCATATCACTTCTAACTGCTGCATGAATGATTTCTGATGCTAACTTTTAGAATTGTTAGTATTGTTTATTATGATGAGTTGGTTAGTAAACCACCTTGGGAGGATGTATGTTTTGAAAGACAGCACATAAATAACTGTCAAATAAATAAAATTAAAATTAAAAGACTATATTTACTCCAATAGAATTAGAACTGCTCTTGCAGTAGCCAGCAGGATTCTGAGCCATCTCCTTTGTCCCAAGCTAGAAACAAGCAACATGGATAGATGACCAGGAAGTGATTGAGAACCATTGCTCAAAACACCAGAAGGCAACCTAAAAATGATGTTAAAGAGCACTTGACAGTTTACCATCTTCTTTTTGCAGATTCTTCTCAATGTTAGATACACATGATGCACATGTCATGCCTGTGACCAACATAAAGCATCTTTCTGTTTTTCCGGCATTGGAAAGCTTTGGAGGATCATGGGGAAAGTTCTTTTTGTGAGATATAACATCACTGTACAAGAACTCTGGGACAGCATCATTTCTCAAGGAAGTGGAAGTTGGCACAGTGGATTCCACACCCCTGTCAGTAGGTCTCCCAATGTTGGTATCTAGAATAAAAACATCAACATTGTGTTATTTGTGAAAAAAACATAATTTCTACCAATCAGCTGATTCTGCACAAATTCTGCTAAAGCTATGTGGGTTTTGGGTACTTGTTTGCACAAATTTCATTAGCAGTTTAAAGAAATATACCAATCGCAGTCCATCTTAGAGACAGAACTCTGTGACCTGGCTTGATTTACACTACAGTAAGTTGGTAGTAGTTCAGGACTATTACCAAGATCAAGTGATGTGTTTTAAACGTACAAAACACAAACATGTCCTCAGGAGTCTTCACACAGTTAAACTAAACTGCATTAAGTGATCCAGTTTGCACTCCCCCTTAAGATCATATCTTGCAGATCAAATTGAGGCCTGCCTAGTCCAGTATTCTTGGGAGACCCCTCTCCCAACAAGTGCCAGATAGTTCACTGGAATACTGCCATTTGATTTTTGGTTAATGACACTGGTTAATGACTCGCTAGAGGACCCAGTGTCTGAGTCTCAGTAGACCGCTCTGCCCAAAGAAGTGCACAAACTCTGATTTGCAAATTTACTTTGAAGAGTCTCTGATTTAAACTAAATTGTATGCTAATGCTATTACTGTTAACAAAGAAGAGTGCTTATGGTTGCCCAAAGAGCTTCTTTGTCTTTTTTGAGGGAGATTAATTCTACAGAAAAACAGAAAGCAGGGTTGTATCTGTCATTACCTGGCTAAACTCATAAGCTCCAGATTAATGAAAAGCTACAGTTATGGCCTCAAGAAAACATCCTTCTCCAAGAGCTTCATGATAGGTGCTATTATGTACTATAGTGACCTTACAACTATTTTACTAGTGTAGAATAGGTAATCTAATGTACTATATTTAGCATCTTACATTTAGCACCTGCTTCTGGGATGGGGCCTGTGTTTTGTATGATGAATCTTAACATGATCATAGAAGTTTGACTATCCCAAAGTTGAGTAGCAGAGCAGATTTTTTTTTCAAATTAAAAGCTACTTTGCAGTATGTTTGACTATAGTATCATGCAAGTTATTGCTGAGCTGGTGTATCATTATGAAGGGGATCCTTCTCAATCACAAGATCCTGGTTATAAAGAAAGCTTTGATACCTGCTAGGACAGAAGCATCAAACCCCATGTCTTCTATAGCAGCTCTCAGCTCTTCAGAGTTGGTTACAACTGGACTGTACGATATAACCGCAGTCCCTTCAGTTAAAGATACAGATATATACACCACACCTTTCCTCTGGGACATAGAACTTTCAATGGATTTTACACAGGAATTGCAGGTCATTCCATCAATCTTCATAACAGCTGTACTAGATCCGCTGTGTGGGTGCACCTGAGGGAGACTGCGGGATAAACATGGTAAAAAGGATGCTGTGCTTGCAATTAGTTCATCATGGTTCTCCACATCACCAGAAGTTACCTTGAAGTTGCCAGGGGGAAGAGCTTGGATGGCTTGCTGCAGAAAGGATGGAGTGATCAGGTTTCGGTCAAACCACACAGTAGCATTTTTCTGCTCCAGGGACACTTTAATACATTGCACCCCAGGCAAATCAGAGATGGAACTTTCAATGGTGTTGACACAGGATTTGCAGTGCATGCCTTCCACACCCAGAACTGCAGTGGATGTGCTGGGTACACTGTCTTCCGTGGTTGCTCTATCACCATCAAGCCCACCGGGCAGTCCTTTCTCTACCTGCCGTAAGCGTTCTGCAACAATCAAGTCAAGCATCAACGGAGCTTGCTTGTGCTTAATTGTGCTTTCATATCCCAGGCCATCTATGTTATTCCTTAGTTCTTCAGGCTTTATTATATGTGGATGATAAGCAATGGTGGCTTCTTGGTTGTTGAGGGACACTTTGATTTTCTTCACACCGTGAAGTTTCCCAATGTTTTCTTCAATGGTGTTAACACAAGACTGGCAGGTCATGCCTTCTATTTTGAACTTAACCAAAGCTTCACTAGTCCTTTGTCCTGATGACTGTGCTGCCTCAACAATACTGGCATTAAATCCCATGTCACTGATTTCCTCACAGATCTGCTGGGGACTTATTTCCAGCTCCACATATTTTATCACAGCATTACCTTGTTCAAGAAACACCTTGATAGTCACAATTCCTTTTACCTTGGAAATTCTTCCTTCTATAGATTGTACACAGGCTTGGCAAGTGATGCCTGAAATATCAACTGTAACAGTGTTCACCTGAGAACGGAGAGAGGGTGAATGTTCGGAGTCCGCCTCAAAGCTAATATTGTCAAAGGCCAATTTGTGCTTCATTGCTGATCCTGACACACAAGGGGAGGAAGGGTGCCCAGGCAGAGCCTGAAATGTACACAGTAAATAAAATAAACATTAAAAGGTACTTTGAAATATTTATTCAGTATACTAGCCTACACAGGAAGAAATACTTCAAAGGATCCTAAAGTGTAGTTTTGTAACCTCAAATATACCAAGCATCAGAACAGCTGCTCCACCAAACTGGGATGCTACCTGACTGCTCACAGGGTTAGGCTGGAGGTGACTACCTTAGGGAGTGGAGGACTCCAATTCAGTTACCTGCGTGGGTTGCACTGTTGCCCCTGAATGAACTGCAACTTTTTGTTAAAGCTGGTAGCACTGGCAAGGAAAGAGTGTTTATTTATTGGCACATATTGTTAAGTTCTGGCATTATCATGGGCTTCCTGGATGGCCAGGAGTAATTTACACAGCCTTTGAACAGATTACTTCATCGAGAAGTGTTACCTGTTCCAAACTGTGTGATAAAGCAAGATATGACCCTCCCTATTTCCTGTTTTCCTTTTTACCTTTGCTGCTCACCCCTTAACAGGACTTTCTCTAGATGCCTACAATGCAAACTATTGTCAATTGTGTATATTTTATTGTGTGTATATTCTATTTTTAACAGAATATTTATAGACGGCAGGCTAACAAGCCAAGACATAACTGTCACTTTGTGAATATAAAGCACAAATTTGAGATAAATATACTATTTAACAAATTGAAATATGGCAGACTTCCATGGAAGACTGTCATGGAAGAAGAAAGGTTTGTTACACTACTCCAGTACATTTCTTCCCCTCTTGGTGCTTAGCAGCAACTAGCCAGCATCCCATCACATATCCATTAACAGGGAGGGATATGTGGAGTAGTTGGATTAGGGAGTAGTTGGATGCTCTAGTATACTGGTCCAATGAACAAAATGAAGGGAAGGGTCCAAGATGGGTCTGACTAAACATCGTTCCTGTCCATTTTGTAGTTTTTGTTTCAAAGTCACCCTCTCCAAATGCATCTTTTTTTGCTCATTTTCTGCCTTATAGTTTGACAATTACCTTTCTACAGTATTGGAATGAGTAGTAACACACACACATTTCTTTATGTTAGATAAGGATGGCCTTCACATATTTTGCACTATAACTGCCAGGATGTTAACAGGGACCAACATATAAAGCCAGTCCTCCACCATCTACACTGGCTGCCAATTCAAGTCTGGGCCCAACTTAAGGCACTGGTGATGGGTAAAACCCTAAATGGCTTAGGTCCTGGATACCTGAAGGAATGCCTTCTTCCCCATGTGCCTTCCCACCCCTTAAGATCAGAGGTGGAAGTCCTTCTCTGGAACCCCTCCTTGAAGGAGACTAGGAGGGTAGTTACCCAGAGAAGGGCCTTCTTTGTAGTGCACCCCGATTATGGAATATGCTCCCCAGAGAGGTTTGCCTGGTGCCAAAGCTTTATTCCTTTCGGCACCAGGTGAAAACCTTTTTATTTTATTTTCCCATTATTTTAATATTTAATAGGTTTTTAAGGTAGGTTTTATTTAGTGAAAGTTTTTGATGCTGTGCTCCATTTTATTTTGTGTTGCTTTTATTGTAAAACTGCCCTGAGATGCTTGCAGTGGGCAGTATATAAAAGCTTTAAATAAATCAATCAACAAATCATATAAGCCCCATGCTAATGATCAGCGATCACAGGAATTGAAGTCCAAAACATCCGGAGGGGACTAGTATTGACTACCCAGTGACTGCCCAAATTTTAACTTTCTATAGATTATATGAAGCAGCTTAGATTTTAGAAGAGATGCAGAAAATATTTGCATGCCATACATACTTGCTGTAAATCTGATTTAATCCATCTATGTGCCACACAAAGCAACTCTGAAAGCTGTTCATCTAGCACTGCACAATTTTAGTATCCTTGGTTATATACTAATACATGTGACCATGTAAAATAATCCTATGCAGGTTTATTCAAGTTCTAGTGCATTCAACAGGACTTAGTCTTTAGTAAGTGCATTTAAAATGGCAGACTTAGTATGGCAGCAGGGCAAATATTTCACCAGCTAAAGAATATATGAGATGAAACTGTGCAGGGTCTTCATTTCGGGATGGCACATATATTATAGCCAACTAACATAGAATCCTACTGCTTATGACACAAGAATACTAAAGTCCCATCTTTAATGGGTGTATAAATCTATTGGAGAGCAGTAGCTACTCCAAACTTGGGCTATTATGCATTATTACTGTTATCCATTTCCAATAAGCAGCTTATCTATACTTATGACAGTTTCTTTTTCCAAGTAATTAGTTTAATTTTCAAAAAATTGATGGACAGGTGTAGTAACCAGAGTCAACCATTTAATTGTTGACTAAACAACAATTGCTGGTAATCTACATCTTCAAGTAATTTCCCATTTATTTCTTTTGGTGTTTGGTTATATATACATAAATGATACACACACATATATATATTATATACATATATAAAATATTATATATATAATTTCATGGAGGACAAAAAAGATGAGATGGTGATAGTAGATAATGATTCCATTACCAAGTTATAAGTCTCCACAGTTTAATTACTACTGAATATTCTCAAATTTTACTGTTTCAAAGGGCATTTCTGTATTATTTGGATGCAAGAATAGCACAGAATTCCATTCATAATAAAATCCAATACATACTTTCCTAATAAATAAGTTCCATCAAGTTTAATGGTCAGACTAGATGGCCCGGGAGACCCCTTCTGACTCACTCTGTTTCTATGTTAATGCAGCTTGCTTCTAAAGAATCGGGTACAGGACTGCTGCTTTGACTCCCCACAAGCCAAGACTCAAACAAGACTTTGAGCACTGAACACTCCAGGGTATGAACTCATCTCGTTCAACTGACCTGTCTGCCGCAGTGGCTGTCTAGCATCCCCAACAACACACTGCAGGAAACATCATTCTCTTTTCGAGAAAGACTGCCAGCTTTCACAAGAGCAGCTGGCCTGCGGCACCCACCATCTTCCAACACAAGTTGCTTTTCAGAAGTTTGCTTTCTACAGAAACATACCAGAGTAACGTTTTTGTGATTCAAAGTTGCAAGCGAGGTCTAGGTGTTTCTCAAAGGCCTCTCTTTTCTGTTTTCCATCACGTTATGAAACTTAGGGCACGCTGGAAAGTCAAATTAGAAAAAAAGGCTGTTTGGTCTGTGATCACGATTTCTGCCCTCCCCTGCCCCCAAACACTATTTCTACAGTGATGAACTCTGTATAGCTAGGGACATTTTATCAACTCCTCCTCACCGCCTCCTGTAGCGGGAGGCAGTGCCTGGCTGTATACTTTTACAAACAGGTTTAATTATTTCCCACCAAATCTGAGTCATGTATTCAGTAGGGCATGCAACACTACTAATCTTTGCACCCGGCTCTCTGGTATCCTCAGTCAAGGCTGCCTTTCACAAGCTTGTCAAATAGGGCCTATATGAAGCAATCCAGTGTATAATTAACTCTGCCAGCCAAGCTTTCATCTTTCAATCAACAGCATGCTCAAAATACTGAGAATTTAGACACGAACCATTTTTAAACAAATGTGAAAAGGGCAGAGGAGGTACCACAACTTTGCTATTTGACAGGGCTGTGGAGAACATGAGCCATGTGTTAAGAAGCATGGCTAGCAGGCTTCCCTGCCCAACCTAAAATATATGCATCAAAAGTTGCAGAGCTCTGCATAAAACTACACTAGAAAAAACTATTTTAGTCCAAACTATTCCTAAGTGCATTTTGCTCTCTCTTTTCTGTTTTACAACAGTTCCAATACCAACAGTGTCTGAGTGCTGCAACACCAAATCCTGAATTCTGGAGTTATCTGCTTCACATATTGTATTCCAGTCTTCGTGCCTTGCACATGTTGGTTGCGCTTGGACAATCCGCAGGAAAAGAAGCCACAGGAAGCCAAGCGGGTAGACAAATCATGTGGCACACGTGGAAAAAAGAAAAAAGTGGCTCCCTTTCCTGCAAACTCACCACTGAGTCTTGCTATTTCAAAAGGGATTGACACTTGATTTAATCATACCATTGTTGAGTTGTATATGGCCAACAGGAACATGGCCAGCAGACAGGTTTGTCAGTTAAAGTTGCTTATTTCTGTGCCAGTTTCAATTCAGTGACATTTCATTGTGTTTTCCCATTATGGCCACCAGGTAACTTTTAAAATCCCATAAATGGGGAGAGGTCCCTTGGCACCTTCATTTCACTGCTGTGAAACAACTGGATAAGCCAGCAGAAGGATGGAGGTCTCCTGATCTCACCCAGTGGGAGACCTTTATACCTGAGCAGACCCCCTGCATCTCTGAGCTGCAGCATTTTTATGTGCAGGGTCTATACCCAGAGTTAGTACCTCCTGTATGCTTCCTACATTGCTCTTTGCAAGGCAGGGAAAGATTTTCTTCCACCCTTCTGTCCTCCCACCCTTACCCCGCTAAGAAAAAAGACATGCAGCAGCATTAGAAGTGTTAAGCAGTCCTGACCTGGCTTCCTCCCCGTAAAGCAACACCTGGTGTGTTGGGGGGGGGGGAGGTGTGCTTGAAAATAGCAGGCAATGCAAGGTTGCCCATTAAGGGCTCTGGCTGAGCGGAGATGTGAACCCATAACCCTCCAATCAAAATCCAGCACACTAGCTCATATGCCAGCCTGACTTCCATGATAATCACTGACAGGATGCCTGTACAGGGACAGCAGAAGATCATGCTGCTTGTGGGAATAAATCCCCTGCCATCTTCCAGAACCCTAGAGAAAAAGTGCTTCCAGGCAAAATCCACGCCCTTTCTATTAATTACCTAATCTTGGCTGGATGAACAAGGGCTATTTGACTCTGGCCTCTTGGCAGAGCAGTAGAGGAACAGGCTGGGAGAGAGCGCTGAGTGGCCAGGGGACTGGCGAAGGCAAGCAAGGAGCTGGGCAGGGGAGCAGAGGGCCAGGAGCAGCAGAGAGGAAGGGGGCGGGGCCAGAGAGGCCGGAGGGGCCAGGAGGGAGCGGACAGGCGGGGCCACCGGCCTGAGGGGCTGATAAGGCGTTTTCCCTTGTCTGCGTCCCTTAGCTGTGGCCTGGGCTGCCCAGGAACACCCTTCCCTGGGATGCGGAGATTTTGGGTTTTTTCCCTTCCCTGGGATGCGGAGATTTTGGGTCCCGTCCCGTCCCTTCCCTCTTTCCTTCTTTTTTTTTTCCTGTTTTTGGTGCTGTGCTGTGCTTTGTTTTTCCTCCAATTTAAATTTAAATTTATTTTATAAATTTAAGTTTATTTTATCCTTGTGTGTGTGTGCACATGCGCGAGTGGGTTTTTGTCTGGGAGAACTGGGCAAGTGAGAGGACCTGCAAGACAAACAAGGTAGGGGACCAAGATAAGGTCTCAAAGGGATCCCAATGGCAGACCAGGAAATGGCCTTGGCGGGAGTCACGGGTGTTGCTGTCCGCTGTGACAGCTGCAACATGTTTGCCCTTCTACCCCAGGAGAGGAAGGGTTACACTTGCCCTCGGTGCAAGCTGGTGACCCTGCTAGAAGAGGAGGTGAGGTGCCTGAGGGCCGAGAGAGCTCTCCAGGCCCCCCACGAGCAGCCCCCCTCAGGACAGAGGGTTGAGGGAGAGGCCACAGGAGGAGCAGCCACGGAGACACGGAGGTATGTCACCCACAGGAGGAGGAGGCCAGCATGGCCTCCTCCTTCTGGCACCAATCTGGGGCTGGGAAACAGGTTCTCTTCACTTGGGGAGGCTGGGGCTGATGAGGCCTCGGGGGACCAGCAGGACCCCCAGCCTGGGATGACAAGCAGCAAGGGGGCCGCTGCAGGAGAGACGAGGGCCAGGGCACGGCCACCCACCACCACCAGGAAGACACGGCGGTGGGTAATTGTTGTTGGGGACTCCCTGCTGAGGGGCACTGAGCCGGCGGTGTGCTGCCCCAACCTGGAGACATGGGAGGTTTGCTGCCTGCCGGGCGCACGCATCCGGCATGTGAAGGACAGAGTGGAGCGTCTTGTTCACTCCGGGGGTCACCAGCTGCTCCTGGTGATCCATGGGGGCACAAACAACATAGCCAGGCAGGGGATGGTCAGGATCAACAGGGACTTTGAGGCCTTGGGGAAGAAACTCAGGGAGCTAAAGGCCCAAGTGGCCTTCTCGTCGATCTTACCGGTCCAGGGATTTGGGCCAGGAAGGGACAGGAGGGTCTCCGAGGTGAACGACTGGCTTAGGGTGTGGTGCCAGAAGGAACGCTTCGGGTTTCTTGACCACGGCACTCAGCTTCTTGTCAATGGACTTCTGGCAAGGGACGGGTTACACCTCACGAGGATGGGGAAAAGGTCCTTTGGAGATGCTCTAGTGAGCTTCGTCCGGAAGACTTTAAACTGAGCCGGGGGTGGGGTGGGTTCAGGCCCCCCAGAAACGTGTCTGCACTGGACAAGTGTGGGGGGAGGATCAGGGCTCTGGAAGCAGGGTTTTAGAGATACTGCAGGGACTGACAGGACTCCTACAGAGAGGGGTCAGGCATCAGGGAGGATGGGAGGAAGGAGGAGGCTGGGAACTCCAAGGAATGGAAGCGGTGGGAAGGAGTTGAGGTGCATGTACACCAATGCTAGGAGCATGGGTAATAAGCAGGAAGAGCTTGAAGCTCTCCTGGGAATAGGAGGGTATGACCTGGTGGGAATCACATAAACTTGGTGGGATGAAAGGCAAGTCTGGAATGTGAACATAGAAGGGTATCACCTTTTTAGAAAGGACAGCAAGGAAAGAGAGGTGGGGGCATGGCTTTATATGTCAGGGAAGGGATAGGATGCAGTGAGATAGAATGCAGCACAGATGGGGATTCGGTAGAGGCAGTCTGGGTGAAACTTAGGGGTTTTGACAGGGAAAGAGACCTGACAGTGGGGGTATATTATCACCCTCCAGGTCAACTTGAGACCCTAGATGATGTCCTGACAGGCCAGATTCTAAGGATATCTCGGGGGAGAGACACAGTAATTATGGGAGATTTCAATCTCCCGGATATTAGTTGGGAGACTCATTCGGCGGTGACAGCCAGGTCACATTGCTTCCTAGAAGCTATAGAGGGAGGGTTTTTCACACAGAAGGTCCGAGAGGCGACGAGGGGGGGAAACATCCTTGACTTGGTCTTGACCAATAGGGAGGAGCTGATAGATGAAGTACAGATTAGGGGAGCTCTGGATGCGAGTGATCACTCCATCCTTTGCTTTGAGATCAGTGGACTGGGGACGTGCAGCAGGTCGAGCACTAGAAGCTGGGACTTCAAGAAAGCCAACTTTGGCCAACTGAAGGCCAGACTGGGGAAAGTCTCCTGGGATAGGTTACTGGAAGGTAAGCGAGTTGAGGAGGGGTGGATGGCACTCAAAAGGGAGGTTTTGGAGGCGCAAGTCTTGATGATACCTCTAGTCAGTAAGGTGGGGAGGCGGAGGAGAGTGCTGCCATGGATGCAAAAGGAGGTGGTTAGACGAAAGAGGAACCTCCATAGGAAATGGGTACTGGGGCAAATAGACAAAAGGGTATACCTGGGGGAGAAGGCCTGTTGCAGAAGGATTCTTCGCAAGGCTAAGGCAGATTATGACCTGAGACTTGCCAAGAATATCAAGAGCAACAAAAAGGGCTTCTTTCAGCATGTAAATAGGAAGAGGAAGGGGAGACAAGTGGTGGGACCACTAACTAAGGAGGAAGGAGATCCCGTGACTGATATGAGGGAACAGGCACAGATGCTAAATGACTATTTTGCCTCTGTGTTCTCCCCAAAGCAGAACGGGGGATATCCGCATAGGAGATTAGATGAGGCTGGGGACTTAGGGGCACAGATTAGAGTCACCCCCCCTTGAAGTCGAGGGGCTCCTCAGGGCATTGGACATTACAAAGGCGCCAGTCCCTGACGGGTTACACCTAAGAGTACCTAGAGAGTTGGCAGGGGTTCTCTCACACCTGCTGGCCTCCATTTTTGAGGCCTCGTGGAGAACGGGTGAAGTTCCAGAGGACTGGAGGGTGGCATCAGTGGTCCCAATTTTCAAAAAGGGTAGTAGAAAGGACATGGGGAATTACAGACCTGTTAGCCTTACGTCCATTGTAGGAAAAACAATGGAAAGGCTCATAACAGAGAGAGATCTAGTGATGCTAGATAGGGAAGGGAGGCTGGCAGCCACACAAAACGGCTTCTGCAAAAACAGGTCCTGCCAGACAAACCTTGTGGAATTCTATGACAAGGTTTTGCGCTGGCTAGATGGAGGGGATGCAGTGGATGTGGTATACCTGGATTTCAGCAAGGCCTTTGACAAAGTGCCCCATGATATCCTGGTGGAGAAACTGAGGAGTTTTGGGATTCACCAAAGCACTGTCCAGTGGATTAGGGCATGGTTGACTGACCGAAAGCAGAGGGTAACCATTAGTGGGGAATCATCGGGATGGTGGCCAGTGACAAGCGGGGTCCCCCAGGTCTCTGTCCTGGGGCTGATCCTGTTTAATCTTTTCATTAACGACATGGAAGAAGGGGTGAACAGTCTGCTGATCAAATTCGCAGACGACACTAAAACTGGAGCAGTGGCCACAACTGAGGAGCAGGTACTCCAGATCCAAAAGGATCTGGACAGACTATGGAAGTGGGCAGGAGACAACAGGATGGCATTCAATGTGGATTAAGTGCAAGGTCTTGCACTTGGGGCATAGGAACAGGTGCCATAAGTACAGGTTAGGTGACAAGTGGCTGGAGAGCAGCACTTGTGAAAGGGACCTCGGGGTACTGGTTGACTGCAGGTTAAACATGAGTCAGCAGTGTGATGCGGTGGTCAAGAGGGCGAAAGCCACCCTTGATTGCATAGCCAGAAGTGTGGCTTCTAGATCAAGAGAGGTATTACTACCACTCTATATGACTCTGGTGCACCCACAACTGGAGTATTGTGCTCAGTTTTGAGCCCCTCATTACAGAAGCCAGGTTAGAGTCAGTGCAGCGTAGGGCCACAAGTTTGGTGGCCGGTTTGCAGGGGATGGGGTATGAGGCGAGACTGAGGGAACTGGGTCTCTTCAGCCTGGAGAAGAGGAGACTCAGAGGGGATATGTTGGCGACATACAGGTATGTGAGGGGATGTCACATGGAGAACCTGTTCTCCCCTGCAGAGGAAGGCAGGACGTGCTCCAACGGAGCAAAGCTAAGGGAGCCAAGGTTCCATTTAGATGCCAGGAAGCACTTCCTGACAGGACCCCGAGGGTGTGGAACGGGTTTCCATGAGAGGTTGTTGAGGCCCCATCGGTGCGGGTGTTCAAGGATAGGCTGGACGTCCACATGGTGGGCATGTTGTGAGCAGAGCCGGCTGGTGCCGGAGGTCAGACTAAATGGCCCAGGAGGCCCCTTCTGACTCGCTCTGTTTCTACGTTTCTATGTTTCCTCCAGTTCATTTCTAATCGCTGGATTTTTTTTTTTCTACAATGAGAATATTGAAAACCCTTCCTAAACAATAGAACTGCAATCTGAACCTCAGACCCAAGAACAAAGGAAGAGGGGAGAGGATTGCTTAAGGCAGCAACACTAAGGGACCTGGGTGTATTATGCATTACAGGAAACATGAGAAGTTTAGGAGCCCATTTAAGCTCCTCCTGCTGTAAACACTAATCAATCTGAGTCACAAATTTTGCATGTTTTTAGTATCTTTTCCTTTTCTTAGAATAAAGCATTTCTTTTTTATATATCAATAACCACTTATTCAGAGCAGATGGAATTTCTGTTGGACAGCTTGGTTGTGCAATGCCTGCTTCCTGCAATGTGTATCGCCATGAAAATAAGATAGGTAGACACTTCCCTTAAGAGAGGCCTACTCTGACTGGTAACTGTGGAGCGCATTGGCTTTAGAAGGGAAAGAACAAACTGAGAACAGAGTATCTGTTTAAACTTTTACTGTGATTGTAGTTTTCCCATGAATCTTGTTACTGTAATATCAGTTTAGCGCAAGGGTGATGAAGTTGTGGCTCTCCTGACCTTATTGGTCTGAAACCATCAACCTCAGTAGCCTGGCAACAGCTTCACCACCCCTGGTTTAGAAGATGAGGGTTAAAAGAAACATTAAGGGTGCAAGGCTATGCATATTCAGACAGGGAAAAGGCCTACAGGTCCCAGCATGCCCCTGCCTTAAGGCTCCAATTCTATATACACAAGCTTGGGAGTTAAGCCCCACTGTGGATTTCCTTTCAGTAGACATGTATAAGATTGCAGTGTAAACAAGATGCTCATATTCCTCT